CTCTCTCTCTCTCTCTCTCTCTCTCTCTCTCTCTCTCTCTCTCTCTCGCCTCGCGCTCTCCTCTCTCTTCTCTCCCCTCTGCTCTCCCTTGTCTTCCCTCCCCCACACCCCCTCTTCCTCTCTCGCCTAGTCCTGCTTTTCGCATCACACACTATATAAATATACGCGGAGATGCCCAGATACATTCATGCACTACGCACACAGGATACTTGCTCCTGGGAGATAAGAGCTAGCTGGGAACAATGACGGGGTCCACGCCCAGCGTCCGCGCCCTGATTCCCCGCAGTCTGCAACCAGCCCCCATCACCTTCCCCCCAAATCCAAAACCATACGCCTTTGGCTTCTTTCCTTTTCCTGGGGCCGTTGGCCGAAGGTGGCCCTCCTGACTCATTCACTTTCCGTTTCTTCCCACAGATAGGTTCATTAATGCTTTTTCCAGCCGGAGTCAAACTTTTTGGGAATGGGAGGACCGCGGGAGAGTTTACTAGAGCAGGCAGAACCTGGCGCTTACTCCTGAGAAGATTCGGACGCAGACCGAGGCAAACCAACCATTGGAAAGTGCATCCAATGAGAATTTTCCCATTCGGGCCCTCTGATGCTGACATGAGGCGGACTCCCGCAGAAGCTCACCCACTTATCCACGCGGATTCGGGGCGATTTCAGGCTGACCTGAGCCGTCAGGGGCGCAACTCGATTCCGGGTGCATTGTTAGGAAAGGGCACCCTTCTGGCGGCGCGCCTCGACTCTCGGCTCCCGGCGTCCGCGAAGGACTGGGACCCGCGGCACCCTAAGTCAATCTACCCCGTCTTCTTGGGTTAATCCCTTCGCGTTTAACGGGACCCGACGGCCCAAGCCTCGGCAACCAAGCCAGAGTCCTTCTTGCAATTCTACCATGGCCCCCAAGAAACTGACACTACGGCGGATGTTCCCTCCACGCTGGTCAGCAGGTCCCCGGAGCGCAGCACGCAACAGCGCCACATAGACCCAGACTTCTCCCGGAATGAGACAAGGGGGCCAGCGCTCCAGGCTGTCATCCCCATCCAGCCGGGAGACCAGCCTCTCCTCGACCCACTTGTCCGGCCAGGCTCACCCAGAGACCTCCCAGTTCCCCTGCTGGGCCGCCGCGCTCTCTAGTTAGGGCAGCCTTCAGTGGTCCGGGCGTTCTCGGCCTGATTCCCTCTCCCCAATCTCCAAAACAGGTTACCTTGTCCACGCTCTGCAGACCACGCTTGTGACTGTCTCACTTTTATTTAAGAGTCCGCCCCGGGAAAGAGGAAAAAAAAAAAAATCCAGAGAAGATCCGAGTGAAACGGAAAGAAAAATATTCAAAAGTGTGTCCACAGCGGAGAAAAAGGTGACATTAATTCTTTATTTCTTCAGGAGCAATTGAGCCTGAGAGCTCGCTCGCCCGCCTCCCTCCCTCCCTCCTTCCTCCCCCTCTGGAAATTAGTCTCATCAATTCAGCTCCAATTTTGGGTTCGAATACAGACACGGGTCTGAACGTGACCAGACCTGGAGTGGCGGGTGCAGCCTGCCAGCAATTGAGACTCCTTGTGCGTGGGGGGGGGGGGGGGGAGGGGGGTGGTTGGTGGGATGGGGGCCGGGCCGACTCCCCCCACCAGTCTGCTTCTCAATCCAGGGGTCTGCTCCGGGGCTCCCCTGGGACCGCCACATCTGGTTACCGCTAGCGGGGTCAGTCCCCCCCCCCCTTTGCCTGGGGCCACCAGTTCTGGAGTTCAATTAAAAGAAATCAGGCTTAACCCTTTCCTTCCCGCGGCCCGGCTGCCCGCCCTCTTGCTCTTCCCTTCAGCGTTTCCACATGCTTTCCAGAGAGGAAAGAGGTTAAAGGGAAAGGAAGAATGAATTACATCCTTTCAAACCCCAAATTGTTTCCTTTTCTGCCCAGACTTCACCGACCTTCAAACGACAACAGGGCTTTCAGGAGGGTGCGGGGAGACCGCTTCTCACCGGGACCTCACCAGAAACCCGCGCACTCCAGCCACATAGCTCCTCTTTTAGCTAGAAAGGACTTCAACTTCACCACCAAGAGGCCCCTTTCCTGATGCTGGGCAATCACAGAGGCCCTCAATGGCCACCCCACACGTGGCGGCTAGCAGCAACCCCCCACGCCCCCCCCCCACACTCCTCCTAAAGGCACTCTGTGGCAAACACAATCACTAGGTTTTTCTTTCCAACTTTGGTTGGTTTGGCAATTAACAGTCCTCTTCACTATAGTGATCAGTTATCACCTCAACAGTACACCCCACAATCCCATTTAGTACCAGTTGCCTTTCCTGTTGGAAGTGTTCAATATGAAAGTATATTAAAATGAAGATTGGCCTTCTGTCTGAGCTTCGGAACACAACAGCATTTTCTGCTTCTGCCTATAAAACCAAAGTTATAGCAACTTCACAATTTTGGAAGTCAGGGAAAGGGAGCCTAGCAGAGGCATCAACCTATGCATAGACATAGGCATCATTGCCCCTTTGTGATTCTCAAATTGGCACCAGTGCAGCTGCCTTTTGCTGTTTACTAGCCCCTGCATAAGGAGCTACTGCCCATTCACACGGTCTTTTCTGAGAAAGAAGACCCCAGCCAATTCTGAGCAGATTTCTAAGGGAATATCAGATTCCTTCCCTCCTATGTTGATGTGCTGGTGGACAAGTTTGCCCCACTTATGTAAGTCTGGGCTCCATGCTCCACTCCAATGCTGCTGCTTCTTTTTTAAATCCTGAAGGAGGGAAAGCCCTAACCAAACACAACAGTAAACAAGTCTGCCCTGTTTAATGTGGTTACCACCAGACATCTGGAAAGATGGTTTGATCCTGGCAGCTCACATTGTTTTCACGAGCAGCCAAAGAGCATATTTTGAATGTTTGCATTGAAACAAATTGATAGAGAGCCTGCGGTGAGGCTACAAATGAAAACTATCTTGTGTGTTGGGGGTGGGGTGGGGCTTTCTGCTACTCTGGCCTCTCCCTCCCCTTCTCTTTCCTCATCCTCTAACCTCTCCCTGTCATTCTCCTCCTCCCTCTCTCCCCTGTCTACAAGCCTAGTGCCCACACACTTGTGCACACCCTCTTTCCTGGCTCACCAGGGACTATTTGGCCTCACTCTTTCCCAGACTGGGCAGGGCTGGTGACCAGGATCTGGTATGGGTACCATCAGTGCCCATTCCACCAACCCATTCCTGCCTTTCAAGTCAGGGAAAGCCCACAGCCAAAGAAGCCAGGCCAAGCATTTTTTTTTTTTTTTAAGCTACCAACCGGAGGACCCCCCCCCAAAAAAAAAGCCCACCACATCTTTCTAAGGACTATAGAAAGGGTGCATATGTAGGCAAATATTTAGGAAATAGTTGGATTTGGATCATTTTCATTGAAACGTCGGTGAGACCACTTGCCTCTCACCATTCGCACTTGACAATATTTTCAAAGATGCGGAAGTCCTGCTTCCCCCGGGAGGGGAACGGCTGGGCGAAACGTGTCTTGGCTCGCTCAATGTCAGCCCTTTTGACCGGGTCAAGACTTTCCAGACGCAGGCTTCCCGGGCTCCTTAGGTTCCAGCCTGGGTTGGGGGAGGGAGGACGTGACAACCATAGCTGGTCCCTGGGGTGCCTCCGGACTCGGGGACAGCTCAGTCACTTGAAACGCCGAAAGATTCCAGGCCTGGCAGAGCGTCTCGGGCGGATCCTTCCTTCTTCGTCCTCTGTCTTCCCCAACCCGGCTGGTCCGGAGCAGCCGCAGCGGGTATCCAAGCTGGCAAAGCGGGAGGCGGAGGGAGGGAGAAGCTGGCGAGCGGGGGGAGGGGTGGCAGGCGAGCGCCAAAACTCCAGACTGCACAACTGCAGCTTCAAGTGTCTGGCCTCTCGCTCGAGGCCATAATTAATTTGAGATTTATTTTTATTGGAGAACTCGAGTCTCGTCTGACCTTAGCCAAACAAGGCAGCTCGAGCCGCCCCTGGATGCGCTTGAATGCCGGGGAATATTTCTGCAGGAAGGCTCTGCAGGCGCGCCTGCTTTGAATTTGTTTCTCAGACTTCATCTACTCGCAGATTGAAGGAAGATTTAAAGCCTCTGCTCGCCCTGCCTGCTCCCCACGCTCGTTCTTGCCTTAGAGCCGAGCGGGTTCAAAATGCTACGTGGGAGGCCGCAGCGGCTGAAGGGCCCGGGGTGGGCAGGCCCAGGAGGGGGAGGGAGGGTCTCTGCGCCCCGGACCCCAGACGCTCCGGGGCTGGGCCCCCAGACCACGCGGCGTCGACGAAGAAACCTCAGGGGAGTCCGAGATTGACCAGAAAGCGCAGGCTGACAAGAGGTGGAGACCAGCCAGGTGTCAGGACCCTCACCCAGTGGTGACGCCCCGATGCGGACACGGGTGTGTGTATTTTGGGGTTGGGGGGAGGTGGTTCAGCCTCTCCAATCCCCATCAGTCCCTTCCTCTCAGTTAGTCGTCCCAAACACTATTCATTCCAAGACCAGTTTCCTTGAAATGCAGCTTCGGATCTGCTGGCCTTGGGGCTGTGAAATTATGAGGGCTAACAGCCCCCCTTCAACTAGGGGGCGGGCAGAGGAGGGCATCTCCCCCAAATGCTACTCTGGCCCAATCGGCAGGCTGATAGGTGGAGGAGGGAGAGCAGGGAGTCTAGGAGATGAGCAAAGAAGGAAAGGGTAGGACCCTGCCAGTCCTGCAAGGGACAAGAGAGGAGCTCTTAGAGATATGACCCACAGACTTGAAGAAAGGAGTGCTTTGCTTACTGCCGCTGTGGCAGGTGCTGGTCAGGGTTATCCCACTAAGTATCCTGGTCCCTCTTCCTGTCACACAGAGGAGTGCCATGAAAGAACCTTCTGGTTGGATGATCGGGCTACCTGAATTTGAATTCTACCTCAGTACTTAACAGCTCTGTGGCCTTGAACATGTTTATTCTCTGGGCCTCAGTGTCCTTATTTATACAAGGGATTTGTAATTGAACCCATCTTGAAGGGCTTTCTCTACAGATGAAATAAGTTACCTAGAACTTGCTTGGCAGCACAACTTTACCCTTATTTATCTCTATGGTTTTGCCCCTTACAAGCTCTGTCACATTAACCTCTCAGTACCTTCTCATCTGCAAAATAGGAGACCAACTGTTAGGCTCATTATAAGTGAGTTGGTACAAATACAATATTTAGAATATGGCCTGGCAGGGATGAGGGTATCTGAGAAATAGGGATCAATAGTATCACTGCTGAGTCAAGGTCTTCAGTTCCTCTCTCTCATGTTCCCTGGGTCCTTCCAGTTCTATACCTGTCTTAAGCTCTTCCCCTGTATGTACTCTTGAGTGCTCTGTGGGCCCCGAGGGGTTCGAGTCACCATCTAGATCGCTGCCCTGTGGAATGGGTACCCTTGACCCTCAGGGCTCAGCTTGGCTCTGGACTCCTGGGGCCCAGGAGCCTAGGCCTGCTGTGTTTGTCAACAACCCCAGAGCCGGGTGCTGGACTGGGAATGGCAGGGGCTTGGCAGCCTGAGTCTGTTTGTACCCCTCTGGCAAATGGTTGGTGGAGGGAACCAGGGAACAGACCCAAGATTGTCCCAGCTACGCAGACCTTTCAGCGTCATCAATGCACCCCTTTGTGCAACAATACAAACTTTGTGGCTGCTGAAAAATCCATTTTCCCTCTTGAAAGGAGCTCCTGCGGCGAGCTGCTCTTCTGGCGGCCCACAGCTCCCAGACTGCCGGCCCCCACCCCCCAAGGCTGGTCTGCTCAATTCTCCCGAACCAGTTTGCTTTCTCCCTGACCCTTAGCCTGGGTCTGGCTCCTCGACTTCCGGTTGCCCCTTTGGTGTTCCTCATCCCTAAGATTCTGGGTCCTGGGTGTGTGTGGAAGGGAGGTTGCAACTCCATATCCAGGAGCCATTTACAGTCCTAGAGAAGAGCTTGAAGCTAAAGCTCCTCGGGCTGTGTTCTAGTTGGGAGTGGTCTGCAGCGTCCTGAACCTCTTAGGAAAACCTAAGACAGTGAACTTTGTGTGTTTTAGTCCAATCTGAAGATTGTGCTCAAGCACCTACTAGGAGTCATTCGTCCACCCCTCCATTCGCTAATCATTGATGGAAGGATCTCTCTCTCTCTCTCTCTCTCTCTCTCTCTCTCTCTCTCTCTCTCTCTCTCTCTCTCTCATCGTTTATTAAACGTTCTTTCCCGGCCAAGCCTCCAGGATCCGGCTTTCCGTGGACTCCTTCAGATCTCAGGTGGGGAGCGCAAAGATGTTCGCTTATTTCTACCTGACCTGTTTCCCTGTAGAGAGATCTAAGGAGGGTCGACACATAATTGGCGCCCCCTGGACAAGACCTTAAGAGTCCGCACACTTATCAGGTGCAAACGAACAAGCCCAGACACCGCGGTAGCTTTAGCGGACTCTGGAGGGAGCTCAACCGAGTGGCACCGGTGGTGGTGGGGCACTAGGGGGCGAGGCTTCAAGATGGAGGGCGGGGCAAGGAGCTGAAGGAGATCTGCATACGTTTGCAGCACCTGAGTGAGTCTTTCTTCCTCTGCTCTAAGGCAAGCTCAGGTACTCGGGGCTCCGGGGGTCCTACCCGGAAGGTGTAAGGTCGTGACCAGGCGGGGTGGGGAACTTGCAGCCCTAAAGACCTTGCCACTATCCCTACTCTGGGCAGGGCCGCCCGGTGCGCACTCTCCTCCCAGCTCAGTCAGGGGGTTTTCATTAAACGTGTAACCCAGATGTCCCAGCTTTGGTTTGTTTACATTCTTGGGAACTGTTGTGGAAAGTTAGAAAAAAAAATCCTTCCATGTGCTGTCAAATATAGCAATCAGCGCTTTCAGGGTGGGAGCGGGCAGAGGAAAGTGGGCTTCCGGGCTGAGCTGTTGTCCAAACCATAGGAGAAATGCTTTGCACCCGCCCACTTGCACACCCGCCCACCTCACACGCACTAACACATATACTCCCACATCTGCATACTTGCTCTCCCATGCAAACATGTACACATCCTTAATGCAGGGAGCCTGCAGTGAGCAGAGAACACCAGCCTTTGGGACCTGACATGGGCGGGCGACCAGTTCTTCCAGCTCAGTCTTCACTAGGCTCCCCTGCTTCCCAGTCTCCTAAACAGGAATTGCAAAGTCTTATCCTTAAACCCCGAGTCCCAAGGGTTTTCCTCTTTCCCCCTTTCCTGGAAAAAGGCTGAATGGACCATAGGCCTATGGTGAGGGATGGAGGAGAGTTGGGGGGCTCATTACCTGTTTAAAGATGCTGTCATGTCTTACCTTGACGTAAGACGATGTGTCAGGGACTGTCTGAAACATCCTGCGTTAGTGAGAAAGGGTCCAGAAGGCTCGAGAACCAACCTGGGTGAGAGAAAA